AAAAAAAAAAGAATAGAGTTTAAGAACAAAGAAATGGTTGACAGAATACTTCAAAAGATAGCTCCTTGGAGCAGCATCCATGTTTGTATTTGTAGAAAAGAGAAAGAGATGCAACTTTACACAGATAGGAGAATGGGTCTAGCTTGGCAGATAGAACAGGACAAACAACGCTTACAATGTGTTTTTAGACATTGTCTAGAAGAGAAAGAACATCATTAGTAGAACTAGCCCAAATATAACAACAGCATTCCATACAGGGGCGAAAAAGAGATTTGTAGAGGTAGAGAATGGAATCAGGTGTAAGAAAATGGCGAGCAGGATAAAAAGAAACAACCTTATCAGATAATAATTTAGCAATCAACTGTATATATGGTTTCCATGAGAGGTCAGTAGTGAAAGATAATCCAAGAAGAGGTAAAGAAGAGGACTCAGTGAGAGAGTTGCTGTTCATTAATATAGGAATGTTGACAGTCTTACAATATTTGTTTGCAGTAAACAACTGAGTTTTTTTGAAGTTAAAATTAACAAGCCACAATCAGCTACGGAAATGAGATCAGGTTTAAGATCGACTGACTGTTCTAAGCCTGATCTAAAAGAGAAGACTTTTTTTTCAAGACAAGATATCAGCAATGGCTATTTTGTTCATGAATGCCATTTTAAATTTTATCTTTTTCCAAACTTACATCAGGATTTCTTCTTAATTCATATTTACTATTTGTTTCTAATTCAATTCGTTGTTTTTTTACACCAAATTGAAAGTGTCTGTATTTTTTTTTTTTTTCTATTGTATATGCGTTTCTTTTTTTTCTTTTCTTTTTTGTGCTTCCGATTTATACATTTGGATATTTCTTGTAAACATATAATTAAAAACATCAAGTTGATAAATCTAAAAAATCTAAGAAGTTGCTTTTCTATACTAAATTTAAAAAAAATCCTTTTTTTTTAATTATTATTTTGTTATTTTTAATTTGCATCAACCACCACTGGATTAAAAACGTATTAAATCGCTAAAACATCATTTATCTATTTATTTAACAATAAAATAGAAAAAATTATAAGTTTTTTTATAATTTTACGAAATTAGGTTCGGTGTCACTCGTATAGTTAAAAACTAAATAAACAAATAAAGCAAAAAACAAACAAACAACAAAAAGTTATAATATAGATAGTGACCAACAGAAAAGACCTAATGTTACAACTGTTGAAAGCAAGCCTCGCTCTGGAAGACTTAAAGTTGCAACTATTGAAAGTAAACATTTATCTGGAAGACCTAAAGTTACAGCTGAAAAGCAATGATACTACGAAATATTGATTATGACCTGTCCATAGGCTGCTGTCTATTTAAGAAAACGCTTTTGCTATCTGCAAAAAATTTATAATTTTTTAGAATTTTAAAAAGCCATTTATTTAAATTTTAAAAAGCTACTTCTTTAAATTAAAAACTTAAAAATTAGAAATTTGAGAAAGTTATAAGTTGATTATTTATCAATTTTAACCATAAAAACATAAGTTGTTTTTATAGTTAAGTTTTATAGTACTTTAAGTTTTATGGGACAACAAAGACTTACTGTTGCTATTTATGTAGAGGTGTATGATCATCACCTAAACTTCTGCTAAATATGTATGAAAAACTCACTGACAAGAGAATCTATTTCCACAATGACATTTTCATTTGTAAATGTTCTTTTAGCAATTCTATCTAGCATCTGTTTTCGATCAAGTTTTTTTTTTCTCTAATTTTATTCATGACACATCTAAGCAATGCTGGAAACTGGTCTTTTGGAAAGGAAAAAGTTTTACTATTATTTAACATTTATAAATATTTTTCTCCACTGAGCTTTTATTGGTCAAAAATATGCAACATCCAATGACTGTGTTGTGTGCAATAAGTTCAATAAAGTTGATATTGTTTGTTCGCACTAAGACATTTCATATATGATGACAAACTATCTTCAATTAGAACATATTTTCCAGGAGATTTTTTTATTCAGGCAACAATAAAAATTCTTTAAAATAACTGAAATCAAACCATTCATTCTTTGAGCAGTTTAGCGTGCTTTATTTGTTCTTTTATCTTTCCAAGTTGTCCACATCAAATCTGCTCTGTAGTCATGAAATGTCATTCTGCATAACCACAACACATTGAAGATGTAGCAGACTTTATTTATTTAATTATTCTTTAAGAATATTTTAATCCTCACTTTGTTATCAGTTGTTAGTAAGGTCTTCAGTTAAATTAGTTTCATCAAAGTTCCAAATGTTTGATCAAGGAACCCCTACCAGTTCAGGAGTGATATTATCAAAAAAGTTGTTTATAATAACAGTAACTACTTCTGTCTTCTTTTTTTTAATGCCTTCTTTTTTTTTTAATTTTAACTTTCTTTTAACTTGCATACTTAATTGTTTATATCTCTTTAAGAATGATTTTAGCCATTTAACACCAGACAAATCCTGCAAATTACCTAATAAACATTCTTTTACTTTCTGCATAAAATTTGACAATACTGCAAAAACCTTTTCAATTTCCATAAATATTGTGCAACCGCCATGTTTTTTATTATTTAACACTTTCAGTTTGTTCTTTATTATTAGAAGAGGAATTATAAAGATTCAGAAAGTCTCTGTTTGTGTTAATTTACCGCTTTTTACTTCATTTAAACATTTTGCTATTGTTTCCTTGGTAACCACGTACTTCCAGCTACATGTTCTTGGCATGATCTCTATGTTATAAATATTTTTATTAAAATATTTTATCCTAAAAAAATAAATTAAAAGTTAGTAAATCAATAATATTATATCTATAGACATGATTTTCTGAAAAAAAAATCAAAATATTTATTTACATTAAAAATCAAATAATTACGCTTTTTCACTTAGGTTAAAGTCATCCCAAATATATGGCCAAAGCCACCCAATAATTTTTACTTTTAACTATTTTGAATTAGAAGTATTCTAATTTTGTCAACTATTATTCAATATTCTTCCTATATAAATTTGCTATTAGTTAAAAAATTACAACCAACTCAAATATTAACAGCTGTTTCATCCAACTCACAGTATTAGGGCAAATGAGTTTTACAATTTTTATAGACTCAAAACACAAAAAGTATATAAATAGTTCTGCAAATTAATCTTAGTAATAAATAAACAGAATAATTTTACTTCAAGTAAAATTATTCTGTTTAGTAGGAAATTTTATTCTGTTTATTCATTAAAAAAACTTAATTTGTTATTAAAAATAAAACTAAAAAAAAGAGGGAGGCACTAAAAAAATCTTCTATAAAAAAAAGAAGGGGGCACTAGCTACTAAAAATAAAAATAAAACTAAAGAAAAGAGGGGCACTAAATCCTTTTAAAAAAAATGAGGGGCACTAGCCTCTTTTTTTTTAAAGGATTTTTTTTACCCCTTTTTCGTTTTTGAAAATTTTAGTTATATATAGAATTTTTTTTTTTTTAATTTACAATTGCGTCCCTTCACTTCAAAATCTGTGTCATCAGCCATGAAAACTAAACTAAGGTTTTCTCAGTAGAGCGTTTTGAGTTCTTGCATTGGATTTATAAGCTTCATTAATGCCTCATTTTATGGTGTTTTGGTTTTTTCGAGGCTTAGTTCCTGAAATTATTAATAAACTTTTTTTTAAATAAACAAATTATATGATACAGACATGCTATACCTTCAATTATGATTTAATTAAAACAGTATGTACGTGACTTAAGGTATGGTAAATTTTAAGCTATAATTAGCAGATTATGAGATACTGTTTGATGAGTCTTTTAACTGTCTGAACAGCAAAAATCTAAACAAAGCGAGAAAGAAAAAATTCTTTTGCCTTAAAGAAATACGCCGTAAATATACTATGTAATTTTTGGTAAACCACTTTCTTCTTGGTCTACAAACCACTTTCTTGCACCAAAATCTTATTCAAAACTAAATTCTTATTCAATTTTTGTTGAAAATGCTTTTTAAACTATTTTTCTTAATCAGTTTGATGGATTTGAGTCAGTGTGGATTTGTCTGCAGTGTGGATTTGAGTCGGATCATGTACTTACTATTTGTATTTCCAGAAAGTAAATAAAAATGTACATAAACTTTTTTTAATGAAAAAAACAAACTTAAATCTGTGGTAGTAAATATCTATTTGTGTGCAGTTATTTATTATCATACCTTTAACAATGTGAAATTCATCCAAGCCTTTATAAAGAATAGTTGCAGTTTAAATAAACTCTGATCAAAACATTGTTTGTTGCGCATGGATTACCCTGTGACTTGAAAAAAAAAATTGAAAAAATTGTTGACAATAATCATTATCACTTATCACATTTTTTCAGGTTTTTTTCTGTTTCTGTTTTTTGTTTTATCTAATTTATTTTTGATCTTTATTCACTATTTTCTATTTTCTTTCTATTTTTTATTTTTATTTTCTTGTAAATGTCTATTTAGTTCTCAGTTTACACTCATAAAAATAAAAAATTATAAGTTGTTACATATTGTTACACTGCTTGATGATAAGACAAAAAATAATGTCGTTTATATACTCCGGCCATAATTTAATTATGAGCCACAACTTAATTGCAGCCATTAACTAAATTGTGAACTTATGATAAATTTTAAAGTGTTCCCAATGGAAGCGTCAAATCATTAAATTTTTTTAATTTTTTTTGCTGTAAAATGAACAGTGATTTTAATTGTACAGTGTTTTCTTTACATAAATTTTTTTTTCTGCTGATCTTAAATATGGCTGTATAAAGGCTGTTTAATAAACTAACTTTATTAAATTTAATTTTGTTTATTAAACTTTTGTTTAATAAATTATATGGGTTAGGATGTAAAGTATTGTCTAATTAGTTGCAAATAGATCATAGTAATATTTTATTTCTTGTATTTTGTGTTTTATTTTGTTTATTGGTTCTAATGCTTGAAAATAAAATTTAAAACAAATTAATATTTTATATAAATTTAAATTTATATAAAATTCCTATTTTTTTTCTTTTTTATATAGCACTTAATGGGCGAGGTGATGCTGTTTCTCTTCTCTCGGCAAATGATAGCTCAAAATACCTGCGCCAACAAGATTTATTTCTCAAGTTACACTCATTAGATGTATACAATGTTGAACCGTTCAAAAATGATGCTTCTTTTATTCTTCGTGAAGATTTTTTTTATTCAGGATACGTCTCGCTTGAGTCCACCAATTATCCAAAATATTATATTAGACATCAATCGGACACATTGAAATTGCAAAATGAAGAATTCTTTTTTAATGCTTTTAAAAATGATGCTAGTTTTAAGCTTGTTCAGATGCATGATTGTAAGTCGAATATTTACAAAAAATTTATTTCATAAACAACCACAATAAAAATAATATTAATAATAATAATTAATAGTACTAATAAAAATAATAATATTCAAAGCAATAATAAAAATCTATGTTATTCATTTATTTAACCATAAAATCAAAAATTACAAATTTAATTATAATTTACAAATTTAGGTTCGGTGTCATTCATATAGTTTAAATTTAGGTTCGGTGTCAATCATATAGTTAAAAACTAGTCAATGGAATGACACCTTAATAAAATAAACAAATAAAATAAAAAAAGATTAAAACAAGGAAATAATAAAAAAAAAAATAAACTACATTAATACTAGTAATAAAAAAAGAAGTATATGGAATAATATTATTGAAAAAGTTGGAGTTATATAGTATAAATATAAAGTTATATAATATAAATATTAAAAAAAAGATATATATATATATATATATAATATATATAAAAAATATAAAAAAAAAATATAGAGTTATATAATATAAATAAATATATATAAAGGAGTAACGCTAAGGAAAATGAAAAAAAAAAGAGAATGAACGGATGAGATAAGATGAGTAAGAAAATATGTAAAAGATAACAAAAATTTAATCACATAAGTTCAGAAAGGATAGAGTGACAGAAAATAATTTTTGCAGAAAAATATAAAAAAGCTAAATAAAGGCAAATTTAAATAAAAAAGATATATACATACTCTAATACATACAATATTAAAGCCTAGATGATGATTACATAGATTAGTAAAACAAAAGTATTTATCAACATATAAAAAAGAAACAACAACTAAATTGACAGAGAAAAATGCAAAAAAATAAAACATTCAACATTTTTCATATACATAAATACACGACATATAAACTATGTACAAAATTAATTAAAATTGTTTTTTTTTTCGTTTCTTTCCATATAGAATATTGGTGAAAGTTTTAGTTCTTTTTTATTATTTTCCGTTTTCAAAGATTTTTTTCTTTTAACTTTGTTTTTATTTGCTTCATTTTTTTTCTTCTTGTTTTTTATTTTTATTTATTTAAATTTTTTATTCTTGTTTATACACTTATTTTTTAAACTTTTATTACCAAAATGTTTTTTGATTTATTTTTTCTTCATAAAACTTTTTTTTTTCACATTTCACCGTTAAACAAACCTTCCTCCATTTATGTTATATCATGTAGCATATATCAGTGACAACTAATGTATGTTAGGTAGCATCTTTAAATACGTATGCTCAGCCTAAGTAACACTATGAAGTGTTACCTATGTACAGCTTAAGTAACACCTCTAAGTGCTACTTATGTTCATCCTAGGTAACACCATCAAATGGCACCTATGTTTAGCCTAGGTAACACAATCAAGTACTATCTATGTTCAGTTTAGGTAACGCAATCAAGTGCTACTTATGTTCAGCCTTAGTAGCGCAATGAAGTAGTAATGTTAAAAAAATTAAAATAAATGGAAATGATTAAACTAAGAGCAATTAAAAAAAAAATTATGAGCATTTAAAAAATTAAGAGTACAGAACTAAATAATATAGAAGTAATAATAAAATAATAATAATGTATTAGTATAATACATATAATAAGTATATAAATATTATAATTAGTATAATATTTAAATATGATAAAATTCAATAGCAAACAACAATAAAATTTCAACAAAGTTTTTTAGAAACCTTGTTGTTAATTGTAAAACAGATTATTTGGTTGTATATATTTTGTAAAGTTATTACTTTTTTTTTAATCAAGTTTTTTTTAGTTGCTTTGTCAAAACTATGGAGTTTTAAAAATCATCTATCATTTGTAAATTTGATTTCTTAACTGATCTTTCATCTGATTGTTTATCATCTGATCTATTGTCTGTATTGTCTGTATTGTCTTGTATTGTTTATCATCTGATCTATTGTTACTATCTATTGTTACAATGAGGTTTTGTGAATTAATACTAGTGAAAGTTAGGGAGTTCCTCTGATTAGTTTATCATCACTTATCTGATCTATTGTCTGAAACATCTTATTAACACTTATCTGTCTATTATCTGATTGTTTATCACTTATCTGATCTCTGAAACATCTTCTCTTTAAATTTATGAGCTTTTCTTTGTGACCTAAGATTATATGGTGATTTTTAGCATATATAATTTATTTGTTGTTGTTGTTATTTGTGTTTTCATAATTAATTTTATTTTAAATTGAAAGTTATTATTAAATAATTGAATAATTTATTAAACAATTTTAATAGCACACATTGGAAAGCAGTATTCATTTCAACCCAACGATCTCCCACAATATCGAATTGGTATTAGAAGTACTGAAACTGCATCTATTCTTTATAAAGGCTTGGATGAATTTCGTATTGTTAAAGGTATGATTATAAATAACTGCACACAAATTGATATTTACAACCAAAGTTTTATTTATTTTTTTTCATTAAAAAAAGTTTGTGTACATTTTTATATACTTTCTGGAAACATAAATAGTAAGTAACTGATTCAACCCAAATCCATCAATTGTACCCAAATCTATCAATTGCACCCTAATCTATCAATTGTACCCTAATTCATCAATTGTACCCCAATCCATAAACTCAACCCAAATCCATCAATTTATGAGTTTAATGAAAAATTATTCTTTTAAACTTAACCTTAAATTTAACCTGAAATTAAACCATGGGCATTAAACTTAAAAATATTTAATGCCAAAGATTAAATATTTTTAAGTTTGGCCTGTTTTTTTAAGTTAACTTTTTTTGCTTAACCTGTTTTGACTAAGTATTGGTATTCTTCTGAGATGATCCAAAATACAATATTAGTAATTTAATAATAAACAATATAAAGTTTAATATTAAAATGTTAATATAAAAATTTATATTAATATAATATTTATTATAATACAAAAATTTAATATAAAACAATTTAATGGAAATTAGAAATTTAATATTAAACAATATTAAGGTATATCTTACAAAAAATAGATATTTAAAAAGTTTGATTTCTAAAAATGAATAGGAGATGCTATCTATGTATTAGATTGTAACTATTGTTTTCTTTTGAGGTCAGTATTGAATGATAATCCAAGAAAACGTAAAGTGGAAAACTCAGTGAAAATAAATGAGTTTTGTTTGAGTGAAGAGATTTTAATCTCTTCACTCTCAATTTTCATTTTAATAGTTTGCAAATCAACAAAATTCATATAGAACAAGTAATTTTTTTTTTTTGAAAACCAAAATTTGTTTTTACAAAGAAAATGCAAAACTAACTTTACCATTTAATAAATGAAAAGTAAAATTTCCAATTAACTAACCTGAAACAAAAATTTAAATATTACAGTTTGATTTTGTCATGATATATTGTCCATTAATCCAATAATAATCAATTACAATTATTTTTTACTCAAAAGAAAACACATATTCAAAATCTAGCATTGACTGAAAGAAATTTCTGAAGTTAATTTCTGTACTTTAAAGTACTTTAAAGCATTAAATAAGAGATTTTGGATATGTATTAGGAAAAAAAGAACCTAAAGTGAAAGTGCCTTATAAAAACTTTATAACAAACTTTCATCTTGGCTTTCAGACCTGAAGGGCTAAAACCTAAGGTGAAAGTATGGTACTCACTTATAGCTAGTTGAGCTAACACAATACAAGCGGTTCAAACAGAAGAAAATAAAATATGTATTTAGTAACTTACTGGTAAACAATCACTGTGCCAGAGTTAACATATGAGAAACTTACATATACAATAAATTATTGATTAACTAACAAGGTAACCTTCAACTAAATAACATACAAAAGTAAATAACACTATAGACATGACAGATATTATAAAGCATTGTGGAAGTTTACTTCTTCTAGCCTTTACTTAGAAAACGATTCCTACAAAACAACAGAACATGTGAAAAGTTTGCGCTGGATTGCATGTTATCAGTAACAAGGTGAATACAATGATTATAGACCTGACAGAAGTAATTACTATACTATACTTTATGGTAAAAATTAAGCAATGATTCAGAATATATATATATATATATATATATATATTTTTTTTTTCTTATTATTAATATAACTTTTAATTTTTTTATCTTATTTATTTTATAACATTTTTTTATTTTAATGTTTTGTAAACTTTTTCATCAGTTCTTACCATAACATGAATTTTTAGCACTCAATGGACAAAGTCAGTATGTTTCTCTTCAATCAGTCAATGATAAAGATAAATATTTACGTGCTCAAGGATTTGGTCTCAAGCTACAATCTATAGATTTTACTTCTGAACAGTTTAATGGTGATGCATCTTTTAACTTACTGGAAAGCTTTTATTACCCAGGTTATGTTTCTTTTGAGTCTGCAAATGAACCAGGATATTTTCTTAAACATGATCACTTTACCATTAAGCTGCTCAAAGAAGAACCCTTCAATGAAAAATACAGACGAGCTGCAAGTTTTAAGCTTCTGCAGTCATGTAAGTTTTTTGTAGATAAATCTTTTTCTAGAAACTTTGTAAACTTGTGTATGTGTAAGAGTGTATTTAAGTGTACCAATAGCAACATGGACACACACAGACAAACAAACAGAGATACACTTTCTAGAAAGAAATATTCCTGAAAATATATGTTTTTGCATTTTATTTAAATACTTTATTAATCCTTTTTATATTACATATTTATATTTTTTATATTCTCATCTCAATAAATCTCATTTTTCTAAGATAATTATTCTAAAATATTTAATTATTCTAAAGCAAAATTTAAATATGCACGAGATTTAAAATTGAGATTAAATTTTTCCAATATTTTTTAAAAATTTGACTGAAAATGCAAAAGCCATAAACAATATATGAATCGGTAAATGTTAAAAGGGCAGAACTCCAACAATGTAAACTTTTGGGAAACTAAAAAAAAACAGCACATATTTATGAATTGTTTATACATTTTAACAAAAATAATGAGGAAAAAAAGGTCACTTACAGAAATTTTATCAGCTATGATTAATCATTTTCCTTCAACATCTTCTGCTTCTCCATCATTGCTTTCTACTGTAGGCCATTGCAGTAGTTCATTATAAAAGTCAATATAATTATGTGGGATATAAGTGGATTAAAAAAGTCAATCAATTTTTCAATAAGTGGATTAAAAAAGTCAATCAATTTTTCCTAATCAGAGGGCACAACATTTTGCCCTGTGACCGTGACTTTTCGATTATAAAATGAGATTTAAGAAGACATGACAGAGTGTTCAAGAAATAAAAAAAAATTATATTAAAATGTTGAGCAGCCGTGGCGCAGTGGTTAGAGTTCTGGCTCAGAACCCAGAGGTCCGGGGTTCGACGCCAGCTCTAGCCCCACAAGCGACATTGTACGGAAGGAGGCGTGAACTTCCTGTTAAATGCTCTCCCGCAGTGCTCTATGATAAGACCATAAGGACTTCTGGGAGCACCTAAATACATACAAAAAATATATATATATACTTAATACACTTTCTTAAATCATTTAATTTAGCAGATTTTATTGAAACCTTTCCATTTGGGTAAAGAAGCTGTTCTGGCAGGTTCAGTTTATTTTGAGTATTTTTTCTCATCATAAAAGTATGTTTGACAATACCATTGATAATTTCACTGGCTTTACATTGACCTATGTTGTCCCAATTGTATTGAAAATGGTGAAATTTGCTTATTGAAAACTGAATTCGTTGGTTTCTGGGTTTACCCATTGTTTCGATTGAGATGTTTCTTTTATAGTGAACTGGCCACCAACTTTTAACATCGTAAACTAGAGATGAACATACAGTCAACCACTAAAAACTTTCTTTAATTACTACATTTTAATATAATTTTTTTTTTATTTCTTGAACACTCTGTCATGTCTTCTTAACTCTCTTTTTATAATCGAAAAGTCACGATCACAGGGCAAAATGTTGTGCCCTCTGATTAGGAAAAATTGATTGACTTTTTTAATCCACTTATTGTCAGTAAGCGCCATAAAAAGTTTTGAAAAGCAATGGTTTTTTTTATTCCCCCCACAATTATTGGCATAAAAGTTGAGTTCATCATACTCTTAAGGACAGGTAGACAGGTAGTGCAAAAGAAAGGAGCAAGTTTCATTTGGAGACTTTCTAGCTTGCCCCTTGTGATAAAGGTAGAGTGTTGCAACATTTCTCTTCACATCATGAATAGAAAATACACTAACTGTTAACTGCCTTAGGTAAAATAACTCTTGCACAGGTATTTTGGACAGTGAAATTTTTTGCATATAATCTACAGCTAGAGACAAAACATTTAACTTTTTTTTTCCCTAGCGTCCTGTACATCATGTTTTAGGGCTTTGTAAAATATTTTTGTGTGTCTTTTATGTACTGCTAACTCGGTTGCTGCTGTTTGCTTAGCAACTTTAGGTAAGGTGATTTTATCTTTAGCCTTAACTCTTTGCATACGGTGTCTACTTGATGTTGCCCGAAACGTCAATGAAAGTACCCATTGTAGTAGTTATAATAGGACTTGTAACTGAACTTTACCCCTTCATTTTTTTTCATGAATAGTTCATCTCGCAAACATTAATTTCGCATTCAAGTTCATACATTAATTTGGCATTCAAGTCTTCACTCAAAAAATACTTTCCTTTCCATCATGTTGGATCAGTTTTTTTGGAAAGGAGTCTATGTGAACGTATACTTTAGCTAGTATATCATGACTGGTAATGTAACTTGTATGTACTCCTCTCAAATCTTTTATTACGTTTCCATCCATTTTTAAATCCCTTACTCTTGAAACTCTCTTTTCTGATACAGAAAATATTGGTAAAAATGACATAACACATGCCTGTAATCATTCATCTCTGATCAAAACATAATACTTAAATTTCTTTTTGTCTGCTGTTACTTTTTCTTTCTCGTACAGTATCTTCATTGGCATCGCGACTTTTTCCCTAGCTATCTCTTGAACCAGGCTTCTTCCTCAAAATATCCTTAACATCAATCAAGCCATGTAAAAATAAATCCTGCTTATCTTTTGTATTGAACTGGATGTAGAAATTTATAAATGCATCATCAAGGTTTTCTTTGCCAATAGAATCAAATCACTTTCTTGAACAACTTAAAAAAACATTGTTGTAATTTTAATTTATAAAAGAAATTATAGGTAGCCTAGTCTAGGAAACAAAATAGAGTTTAAGTTAAAATATGATAAGTGATTGTAGACTCCCCTAAAAATGTTATTCTTTTGTCTTTGGCCTATAAATATTTACAACCTAAACAAGCAATCAATAACGTCTATAGGCCAACTATAAATTACAGAGCCTAAACCTGACCAAATTTTAAACAAATTATTTCAATTTGGCATAGACCTATTATTAAATTAAGAATTATTGTGTATTATCTCTTACCTGCATGGATCATGCTGTTGTGCAATCAAAACAACAAAGTGAGGTTACGTTTGGTCTGCTGTCCTCAGTGCAAAGTTTCTTGTTTTTTGTTAAAAGAGCTGAAGTCTGTAAAATTTGCGACTTCCGCCCTTTTAACATTCCCTGATTCATATAAGAGTGTAAAAAAGTGATAATTATCTTCTATATTTCGATAATGCTAAACAAAATAAATTGTTATCTCACAAAATGAATTGATAATTCAAAATTTGCAGTTTAAATGAAACAGATCATTTACTAGTTTATTTTTTCTTTTTTGTTGTTATTGTAAAATAATAAACATATTTTAAGATTAGAAAAAGTATTGGAATTTAGTTTGTAAGATTTATTAATTTGAATGAAGCATGGCCTACTTTATTTAGACGGCTGGATATTTTGCATTTTGAAAAAAAAAATAGAAGGCCAGTTTTCTGGAAAAGTGTTTTTAAGAAAGCAGCAGTTCTTTTAAGAAAGTTCAAAAAGATGTTTAAAAAATTTTGCTATTATAATTATATATTATTTACAATGTTTTCGTTTCCAAAAAATAAAGAGTTAAAAAAAAATTGGATTAAATTTGTAAATAGAAAAAATTGGACTCCAACTAATTCTTCCGTTATATGCAATCAAACATTTTGAAAATAAATATTATAAGAAAGGTAACAAGAATCAACGTTTTAGATTGTTAAAAAAATTAAAGCCTATTCCAACTATTTTTGACTGCACAAATTTGACTGAAGAAGGTTCATCACAACTTATGATGTCTTCTAATTCATTAAGAAAATCACTAACTAAAAGAATATTTCAGCCAGAATAATATGAACAGTTTTTATTGAATGATTTGATTAATAGCTTTAATGATATAACTGAAAGTTTTGCTCCGCATGGTTTTTTATTCTTAAAGTATGATGATCATGTAATTTTTTATAAATTGACTTTATCTATTCCAGACGTTACAGAGTGCATTCGTGTAAACAATGAGATGCATGTTAAATTATTTTACAAAGGTTCACCTCTGCTATTGCCTAGGTGGTTTTGTCAAGGAAGAGATTGTCGTTTATCTTGTAAAAGCTTCATTATTTTTTCTCCCTACATTAAATCACAAGCCGAAAAATTTTCATCTGTATTGACTGAATTACAGCAAATTAAATATATGAAAAAACCTATTATAAGGTATTCACTGATATTACAATATACTTCTATGCAGTATTATATAATATTATAAGGTATTCACTGATATTAGGATATACTTCTATGTAGTCATACCAATTTTTGCGTGAAGAATTGCCTTTACCATCATTATCATTACTTAATAAAAATAACTAGTGAAAATATTGATGCTCTAAGTCGTGCAAAACGTTTAAAATTAGAACATAAGATATCTCAAGACATTTGCTTGATTTTTGATGAAATGTACTTGCAAAAATGTGAGGAGTATTTTGCTAAAAAGATGATTGGTAGTGATGAGTCTGGAGAAATGTATAAAGGAATAGTTTATTTTATGATAGTTGGCCTAAAATAAAACATTCCATATGTGATCAAAACGTCTCCTGAAAAGACAATCAATTCTGAATGGTTGAAAGAAGAAATTTTTGAATGTCTTCGTATTTTAACTGAATGTGAATTTAATGTTAGAGTTATTGTGTGTGACAACCATTCTGCCAATGTTTCTTGTTTTAAAAAATCTTTTGTGCATCGAATCAACAAGCCGAAGATTTGTTTTTTATTTACAATCTAAAAAAAATATACCTCTGTTTTGATGTTGTACATCTTATTAAAAACATCAGAAATATTTTGTTAAATTGCAAAAGATTTTTTTTCCAGATTTTAACTTTAATGGATTTAGAGATCCTATAATTGTATGTGGGGGAGAAATTGAATGGAGTACCTTCCACAATATTTATGAAAAAGACCTCGCTCTTGATGCTGGTTTGCGTAAAGCACCAAAAATAACAATAAAAGTGTTACATCCTGGCAATTTTAAACAAAATGTTTCTTTAGTACTTGCAATTTTCGATGAAACTACATCTGCTGCGATTCAATCATATTTTCCTGATCTTAAAAGTAGTGCAGAT